TTCTTTAATATGTAAATGAAGACTACTATGAGTGTAATAATTTTAGTGATAGGTACAATTTGAGTGTAAACTTATAGCCTTCAGTTTAATAATGTACCAAAGGAAATATATTGTAAAATTTTGTAGATTTATTTCACTATATTGATTGTTATTTTGAAGTAAAATACAAATATATTTCTTTCTAATTCTGTTGCTTTGTGTGTGTGTGTGGGGGGGGGCAGTGAGGATACTGAAAAGTCCTCATCTATCTCACTTCCCAAAATCTGACCATTTTAATTAACATCAGAATTTTTAATTTTGGGGCTGAGAATTTTTCAACATCTCATTTTTGGAGAGTGTATTTTAAGAGTTAAAAAGAATTGTATGAACCACTAAGTAAGATCTGAGAGAGTTTGCTGCAATGTTCCTTGTTTTATAAACAGAACATTTTAAAGAATAATTTGTTGTTTTTGAAGCATGTTTAAAAATGTTTCAAGCCTAACTCTATAACTTTGATAATACAAATGTCATGCAAAAGGATTTGGTTGCCAAAAATGAATTCTATATGTATAAACAAAAACTTTATATATATATATATATATATATATAATCAGTATTTAAATTAAAATCTTTTTGTTATTCTGTCATTTTGTAAACTGTGAGTTTGAAGCCATTACATTGATTTTGATATTATTTCCAGCTCCCCACCCCCATTTATTTGAGTCTGCAGTATATTGATTACCAAAATCAGGTTAATCAAGTCCTAAAAACAAATAAGCTTTAGGCTTGTTCAAAAAACAAAAAAAACTCAGCAATTTTTTTATTGAATTTTCTCTAAACAAAGATGTTTACAATTAAAATCTTTTTAAGATATAAAAAGCAGCAATATTACATTCCATATTGATGTCTTGTACTAACCAACAATAAAAAATAACCATTATATATGGTCAAGTCACTTTCTGTTATAGCAAAAAAACATTACAGTTTTGATTGCGTTCTGAAGACTAAATGATTTGCTGCAAAACTGATGAATGAAAATCTAATATAATCATATTTTAATAATGACATGTGACCTGACATTTTCTAGACTCAAATCAGCTTTGATCAGGCTTACATTGTCTCTAATCTGGACTAAGTGCACACATATCAGATGAAGAGTTGAAAAGTGTAATCCAGTTATTTATGTTAATGGAGATATATGTACGGGTGTGTACATATGTGTGTTCTTTCACACAGGTTCATATAGGTGTAATGGGTAATAAAAATTCAACTCACCTTTTCCTCTCTCACTTTTTCTTTTTTTATAGTTCAAGCAAGATCTAAGGCTGTACTGGTATTTTATTATGCTATTATGAATAATTCTGCAGTTGTCACATTTTAATTATGACAAAAGCAACAAGTTTTTGATTCAGGAGGGATATTGGAAGCTGACTCTGTTTTAGTGGAAATGAGAAAAATTATGAACCATATGAAACAAAGTTATCAGTCCACCTATTTGTATTGAACAAGTCAACCAGGGACAATGATGTGGATGTGGCAACAATGTTGAAGAAGGTGCTCTATATTTTTTTAAACATTCATGGCTAATACAGTGGGCTATAAGTTTTTAGCCACCCAACAGCAATTTTGGCTTGTGTAATAACATCTCTTCTTTTTTTTTCAGACAGTACTGTGTTAGTATCAAGCTACTCTCATCTATGAACGATAGTTGACTTATATTTTGCAATGAAAGTTTGTGGAAGTAAGGAAATTGGTGAATTTCAATGAGGACAAATAATAGGATGGCATCCGTGTGGCAAGTCAGATAGAGAAATTGCTAGGTTTTTCCAGGTTAATCAAATGATTGTCAAGAAATTTGATGAAAATGGCCATTGTCATATGGAACATTCAGGAAGACCAAGCATCATGTCTTAGTGAATGAAGAAAAGGGCGCTGAAGAGGGAAGTCATCAGAAACTAACGTCAGAGGGTCAAAGCATGGGAATGTCTACATAGGCAGTGAGAAAGTCTCTGAAAGAGCTAGGCTATCAAAGAAGAGTTGCAAGAAAGAAACCCTTGATTTCAGAAGTTAACAGGAACAGGCATATGGACTGGGTGAGAGAATTCGAGAGCAAAGATTATGAATTTTGGCAGTCTGTAATTTGGTCACATGAAAGTAAATTCTGCCAATATTTGAATTTGAGACAGGTTTATATTTGCAGAAATCAGAATAAGACTTGGAACACTGAATGTTTGCAGGCAAACGTGAAACATGGAGGGATTGGGGAATTGGTGTGGGGCGCTGTCTGGTTTGGAGGGAAGTCTGAGCTGATTCTTGTTGACGAGCGGTTGAATGGTCCAAAATACTATCAAATAATAGAGAAAGGACGACTCCCACTATTTGAAACCAATCAGATTGACAAGAATGTCTAACTTTTTCAAGAAGATGGAGTGCCATATCACATGAGCAAAGTAGTGAAGACCTGGAGGGAATTGCAAGGAATCAAGTCACTGCCATGGTTAGCCCAAAGTTCTGGCATGAATCCAATAGAGCATGTTTGGGAGCACCTTGACCGAAAACTTTGAGAGTGTGCAACCGAAATCACGTTAGTGGCAACCCTTAAAGTAACATTGCTAAAGGAGTCGCGAAATATGGATCAGACGATTGCTGATAACTTGATCAAATCTATGAAAAATTGAATACAAGCACTGAAACTAGCAAATGGAGGACCTCATCTATACTAGTTCCAAATAAAATTTATTTATGTTGGGTTTACGTAATAAATTTTGAATTTGAATGTAGTTTATTTCTCCTGGTTAAAAACTTTTCTGAGGCCATTGAAGAATAATGGGCATTTTTAAAAAGGAATAAAAATGACCACAGATTTACAAGAATGGTAGACTTTACAATATGAATATTTTAAAGAATGATAAAATGATAATTATGATGTTTCCAAATTCTAAGAAGTAGAGGACTGGCCATTAACATTTACTTTCGTTAAAGTAGGAAAGAATTGATAATTGAGAAAACTGTCAGTTATTTCATATTTGGAGAGTTTGCATAGCAATCCTCTATACCACACCTAGGTGTTCAATATATTTAATGTAATTGTCCTTGAGATATTTATTGTCTCATGCATTGGTTCAAAAACTTTTTTTTTCTCTAAGTTGCATTTTTGGAATGAAAATTACTTGTGCTTCACCAAATTTTATGTGATAAAAAGTACATTTAAAAAAAAAAGAAAAAAAAAGTAGGTTAAAGGGAGATAACTGCAGAGTCAAAGTCAGAATATTATCATCTCTCCTCCAATTTGCATGCCCTAGTTACTATATTCTTGATACTGGATATAATGCAAAAATATCACAATGATGAAATTGGTCAATTATTATTTATAACTATTTATACTTTGATTCATGCATGCAATTAAAAGTAATCCATAATAATATTTTAAATTTTGAAATCATATTTATTTTTGGCTTATGAATTTTTTTAAAACTGCTTCTAAATATTTGATTGTCTTCAATTATTCCCCTTTACTGGCTATCCTCTTTTGCTACATTGTTTAGAAAATATAGGTCTAATGTCTTACTGATTCATTTAGGATATCAGTAGTGAATTGAGCTATTGATTGAAAACTGTATTGTAACTTAAGAGGTTTCCCCTATTGAAGTGATCAACAACCTTGTTGATTATAGCCTCAAAGAGTTTGCTGATGACCAATACTGAGACAAGGATGAGTGCTCATCTACATTCTTGAAAATGAGGTATACACTTGACACCTTCTACAAATTGGGAAGGATTTCTCCTTCAAGCAGTTTTGCTAAGATTGGGGATAATTCAGGGTTAATAACCACTAACCATAAGGATAACCACTGTGTTTTTATCTCGACTGGTAGCTTTCCTAGGGTTATGACTTTTGATAAATCTTTAAAATTCCTGAGCTGTTATAGAAATATTACTAAGTTTGTGCTCTGTGATGTAGGATGGGGAGATTGGGAAGAGAGTGGCCTTTGTTACGTAACATAGAAGCTGAATCGTAGTAAAAAGCTTTCCCTTATATGATGAGGATGAGATTTATGATAGTAAGTGCTGATGCTATGTTTCAATTGAGAATTTGGAGATTTTCTAGAATTCTTGGGATTCAAGTCATTTACTTTTGACCTTTGCCTGGACTGCTTGTGTATAGCTGCATTTTTCACTTTCTAGAACTCTCTTGTAATGATTGTAGGCAGTTCTGAATTCAGCAAGTGTCTTACTACACTGTTTCCTGTAATAGATATTGTAGTAGTGCTTATGGTGGGCTATAGCTGCAGAATATTCAGGAGTGAATCACAACTGGTTATTTGGTTTTTGTTAGAAATTTTTGACAAACCGAACTTTGACATTTGAATTCATGGAAAATTTGGTGTATGAACAGAAACCGCATTTTAATCTGTATATATTGATTTGACTAAAATAGGACTAGTGGCAAAAGATTGTTTTAGATATTCTATAAACATTCACTGATGATTACTCAAATATGCTTTTTTGCAAAAACAAAACCAACACTGTCAGAGACTGAAATAGTAATAACAGACCCAACTCCTTATAAGACTATGTAGTGTTTGTGATATAATGGAATATTCATACACCTGTGTTCCCCCTCACTGGAATATGATTGGTTGGTGTCCGTCATAAATACAGACCGACGTGTAGGTACGACAGTCTATGACGACGCCCATTGGACTATGCCATTGGCTATCCTATTGGTCTACACTTATTACCTGTAACTACGACGAGTACCAGTTGATTACTGCTACCATGTACTACTTGGTTACAGTAGCCAAAACCACTTAGCTACTTCAATCAAATATATCCCTTTCCGGGACATATCAGTTTGAAATCTGATAATAACAGAGAATTAATATAATTCAAACAATTTTTAGTTGGTAAAAATGGCATCAGACATAAGACTTTGGCACATTATTCAACCACACTAAAAATGTAAACACAGAGAGATAATTAGAGAATTCTTGATGGCAAGGTGTATAATTGAAAGCAACCAAATACCGGTTCTTGTATGAACACTGAAGTTAAGCAATGCCGAACCTGGTCAGTCTTTAGATGGGTGACCGCTTGGGAATACCAGGTGCTGTAAACTTGGATTTGTGAGTAGTGTTATGGATAATGGCTTGGAATTCTTAACTGGAGAGCTGAGTTCCAATTCCAGTTGCATTTGTTATACTCACATGTGCAAATACCCTTGGGAAAGTTATGAATCCACCACTTCTACACTCAGCTATGGGTTAATTAGGACTTGTATCAATAAATCATTATCTCCAAAAGAAATTCTTACAATCTAAAAATACATTCTGGCTTTAAATAACCTGCAAAATGTTGATAAGCTGTCAAAAACAATTAATTAAAAACCAAAGTTGTTTAGTCCCTATGATTGCTGCAGTAATTTGTAACAGGTGCCTTAACAATTGTGTAAAACTTCATATTACATAGCTACAGGCAGAAAATGTAACTTTTTTAAACACAAGCAGTACACATCTGCAGTACATCTACATACAAACAAGGCAAGAAATTCATCGAAAAGGGAATATTTGTAAGATAGGACAGTAATAGCTTTTTTATATTTAGTTTACTATCCAGACAATGGAAAAGTCTTGAAGCACAAGAAAGTGATGATTTCCACAGAATGACATGTGTCATGTCAAAATCTAAAGGAGACTCAAGTATCTGAAACTAAAATCTTTTACAGTCAAGATAATGCTCAAAAGGGGGACAGCCATATTTCATAGTACCCTTCAGTATTTAAATGATTGTGTAAAAGACATTGAATGCAATGACAAGACACATTTTTATAATTGGATGAAACATTACCAGCCATTATAAATTTTTGACAAGTAATACTTTTATTTTCATTTGTAATATTTTTAATTATTTTTATTACATGAAGCATCAGCAACCATTTGTTAATTTTAAATAATAGTTTTTTAATCTCAATTTGTCTTGCTTTATTTTCTCTAGTACTATTAGTAGTAATATTATCTTGAAATTTATTAGATAAGGTATTGTCAATTCATATTAATTTTTTACTAGTATTTCTTTCATCTTAATTTCACTTGCTTTAATAATGGTAATATTAGTTGTTTCTTTTTAAGGAAGCATTTGGCATTCATTGACCAAGCAGCCAGTACTACTGTCAGTTGTAATTTGTAAAATCTTTCTGCTAAAATTTTTTCAGGAAAATAGGTTTTTCAAGTCCAGTAAATATTATTGCTCTTTCCAGTATTTGTGGGACTTTCTTCCTAAACTTTTGTTTGGGGTAGTGTACAATGTCAACATTTTGATTGTTGTTATTTTCATTTGAATTACATGTGCTATTCATATTAGTTGTTGCTATTTTTGAAAATCCTCAAGTGATGTTGTTTCTGTTATTTTGTACAATTCTTTTATTGTAATTTTTTAGCACCAGTTCACAAGGTTCGAATTCTTCAAACCTTATTATCTGGTCCTTGGTAAGAGCTACAGGCTTTGAAGTGATTTTTAACCATTGATCTGAGAAAGTGGTTGTATACAGGTGACTGGTTAGATATTTCTGAGTTTGGTGCCATGTATGTCATCCATATGAAAGCTTTGATGATATTTAAGAACATGACTCAAGTTTCAGGTTAATATTTTGGTTTTGTAGAAATTTCTTTATAGTAAATTTCTTATAACTGATCCATACATCAAGGAATTTAAAATATTTAGTATGGTTTTTATGACGTCTTGAATTTTTATGACAGATTCAGGGTAGATGCCGTCACTGCTTTCATTCCAAGATGGAAAGATATATGTTTAGTTCTATTTCTTGGAACACTTGGTAAAGGATGTTGACATTTTGTTTAAGATTAGTCTTAACCCAACTACGAATACCTATATCATTGGCATGACATAGCCTCCCTCATCATTGGTACATTGTCCTTGGGAGGAGAAGGAAGAATACAGTTTTCTATTATTAGATTTGTTTGGGATATAGTATGGAATGTTTAAATGATCAGTGCCCATTTCTTCATAACTGTTCTTATATATATGCAGGGCATAGTCTAGACAGATTATGTAAATTGGGGGTATCATTTCCTTCCTGTCATACTCCTGATGAGGTTTGAAATATTTCTGTATTGGGGTTCTCTCAATTTTGTAGACCAATATAGTTCTGTCACATCAAGGCATTCAATTGAGTCTGAGCTTGGAAGGTGGAATGGATGAGAAGATGAAGTCTCTATTGATGTGGTTATATGCTGCTGTGAGGTGAACATAGCATATATGCAATTAGAGAGGCATGCGGTTTCCTGGTGTTGTTTGATGACATATATGTTACCATTGCACCTATTACCAGAATGAAAACCAAATTAGGTTGTGAAGAGTTGACTTTCCTAGAATGGTAAGAGCCTAATTAATAAAATATTCATCAGTACTTTCGCCATAATGGATCCAATTCATATATTTCTGTATGTGTAAAAGTGTTGAGGACTACATTTTTGTTTTAAAGGTTGACAACATTTCCTCCTGTAATAAAATTGAATATTATTATTAATATTACTATTACTACTAGTGTATGTAAACATAGAAATAACATCAAATATGGCAGCAGTGAGTGATCAGTGAAGGGAAACATTAGACATAAGTTTATGGTTTGATGTGATTTTTGTTTTGCCAACTATAAAGCTCTTGTAATTTAATCAGATAAAGCAGTTAACTGTAAGATAGGCTTTCTCATGTAAAAGAGCTGGGAATTTTATTTGCTTAGAATGAAGGTATGTTTTTGCAATTAAACTTTTATCTGCACACTTTACTAATAGGTATAGAAGGATTAAATTGTTGTAATGAAAAGCATCTAAAATTCAGAAATTATAATTCAGATTCTATTATTCAATGTTTTGTCTTTTTAATTATTATTTGTTTTTGAAGAATTTGTAATAATGCCCAGTTTATAAAAAAAAATATAAAATTGATCTTTCTTAGTTGTTGCATTATTTAGCTTTTATCTAATACTGAATAGTAAAATATTATTATTTATTGTTAATGATTCCTGTATGCCACTCTATTATGTCATTTTAACCAGTTAATTTTATCTCTTCTTTCAGAAAACTTTTCCTTTTGCAACCCCAAAAATAGTTTAAAAAAGAAAATATTTATCTTTTTTTTGAACATCAGTGTTAGCACAAATCAAAAGATTTACTTTTAGTGCAAATAACGTATATTGAAATAAATATGAAATTTCACTTTTATTATTTGTGAAATGAGTGGAAATATCCATATCCATACAAACTTTGGGCATTATGTAAACCTAGATGAGGAATAGAAATGATTGATAATCAAGTAACTCTGTTCATTCCATCAATACAAAGCATACAACTGAAAATATTCATAGCCACCTGAGCAACACAGGTGATCATATTTTATATATAGAGACACACTCCAATTTCATCCTTGTGGAGCAAAGAAATCCACACTTCATTGAAGTCCATATTGACCTTACTTATTTGCCTAGAATCTGATGCCTGGCTTAGGTATATAGATAACATGTTTATTCTATAGTCCCCGCAGTTGGATATACAGATTTTGTTCAATCATGTGAACTTCATTAGATCATCTATATAGTTCAAAATAAAAATGGAGAGCAATAAACTTTCTTTTTGTAGTGTCCTTGTAACTCTTATTGGGTGTGGCTATAAGGAACATAAAGCTATATCTAAAGAGGAGCTAGAAAAATTTGGAATGGCAGATCATAAAGAAGATTTTGTATTGAGAAAACTGAAAGAAAAAGCACACTTCAGTTTGTCTGGTTCTTATGTCAGTCAAGTCAGCATAGATTTCTGTGTGGTGTGGTTTTCTTTACTCAATTAGGTAAGAATTGGTATGCATTCCATATATAAATTAGCATCATCTACATTACATAGATGACTGTGAATATCATTCCTGCAATGAACTAAACTAATTCTGTTCACCTATGTGTTATGAAAAAAGACTGTAGAATGGATTGGTGAAAACATTGTGGTAGGAACATCAGAAGTATAAAGGATGTATTTAATTGTTCAAATAAACTCTGAAACTGTCACTTGAAATTCTTCTGTGTTTATTGAATTTACTGAAATAATATGAATCATTTAAAGTGAAATTTAGGGAGTTTATTTTTTTCAGCAAATGTTTAATTAATAATATGTCAATTATGATATAATTTATAATCTCAAAAACTATGAAAAATTCATAAGATATTGTAATGTATTAACATTTAAAGGAATTTTCTTAATAAATAATTATTTATAATTTACTTGACATGTTAGTTTAGAATAATATAACTGGCATATATATAACATCTATATCTTTGAAAAGAGTCATTAACATTTTAAGCCTTCTTTCAATAATTGAACTCCTTTGTTTCTGAAACCTCATGGTAACTTCTAGAAGTAACACAAATCAGTCCAACTGTCTGAATGTGGGTATGCATAACAATTTCTAAGGAATAAATATTTTGAAAAAGTCAAATTTAGGTGACAATTTATTTTTTTAAATATTTTATATATGGTGTTATAGAATTCATGCTTTATGACTTAAATGTTCCCTGATTGGCTAATATTTGTTTGGATATTCTTAAATGAGATGATTCCTAAAATTATACAGCCTTTAAAATTAAAGGCTTTTCTTCATCTCTCTGATTTGTTTATATAAATAGAGCACAGTGTGTGTGTGTGTGTGTGTGTGTGTGTGTTCATCTGTCTGTTTTTCAATCTTGATGAATCATAAACAGTATGAAGTAACAAGTAATAATTACTGTAGTTAGATGTGATTAAAAATTAAATAATTAACTCATTTAAAGTTAAATTTAAATATTGAACTGAGTGAAAGGTTTAAAAACAAAATCTTTATTAAATGTTTAATTTTGCTTTTCATCACAATTTCAATTGATATCATCTAATTAAACTGTAATTAAAATTTAAGCAGGGCATGGTATGTTGCTTATATGTTGTTTTTTTTTACTGTGATGTATCTGAAAATATTACATAGTTCGGTTTCTTTAATGTTTTTTAAGAGTGACTTTATGTGAAGAGATCATAAAGAATAATGATTTTAAGAGAAAATAAAAATTGTACACAAAATAAATGT